GACTGTGTCTGACTATTATATGAATCTCCGTTACTGTGGTCTTTGCCGGCGGTGGTGCACCATCATCATAACAAACACTGGCCTCCATAAAAAAGGGGCGACGCTGTGAACTGTCATCGGTGAGAAATTGAGAGACAGAAAGGGAGAGACTCAGTGTAGAACAAGAAAAACGTCTCTTGATTGGATTACAAAACTGACAGCAACGTTCCAGCAGTCTTTATCTCCCCAGAACATTATTAACACAAGGCAACAGTAAACATGTCATTCTCTAGGAATGACAAAGGCAGTCCTTGGGCCGATCAGTAACAAGTAAACAAGCGTTTCATCACCCATGTTAGGCCTCGGAATTGTTTTTAAATTGCCGGAATGAGACTTTCAGTTTCGTGAAAAATGATCATCTCGGTACGAGAAGGCGTGTTGCGTCAAACTGCTGTTTGATTGCAGTTCTGAGGCAAACATTCTTTTATGTTTTGCTTATTTTCACTTCAGCCATGATTGGGTAAGCCAGATCAGTTCTTTCCCCAGTTAGGCTGCACAAAGCCTACGTTCAGACCTACAGTAGCCCTGCAAAATAAAACAACACAGTCCTTCCATTCATTTAACAGAGCCGGTCGGTCAACACAGCAGGGCTGCCAACGCATGGGGCTCAGGCAAAACAACACCGAGTCGTCCATCAAGCACAGCTGAACCAGGCTGAACCTTTACTGCAACGAAAACAACGGAAATCCATCGGCCGCTTTAATAACTTCCGGGAGTTGTAAAATCCTGTCCCCAGAGCATTATAACCTGCTGTAAGGAGTCCTGGTGTCTGAACTCAGGGTTCGACTCTATTGCTTAAGCTGGACTCTCTGGATCGTATTTCATTATCTCAGTGGTGCCTGCAGCAGCATGCCCCCCCACCTACGCAGCCCTGTTTGTGAAAACCGTTTTTGATGTGAACGCCTAGCTGAGCTTGAGGACGTGATCTTCCTGCAGGTACACCAGTGAAAATAACGTTAACGTTTGGTATCATTCCTTTAAGCTAAATGTTGGTTCATCATAATCTAAATAACTCTTCAACATGGCAAATTAGGTTCTAGCAAAAAATTCAACTTGTGAGGTCATACTTTTGCATGCTTCATGCCATCCTCTCACTCTACTCATGATCCCTCACGATCTCCTTGCTGTCAATTGTGTGATCAGCTGCTCACATCCATCCAATGGCACCGCGATACACCGACATTGTTAGCCTATCATCTTGCTTCTGTCTCCTTAAAATAAGATTCTCTCTCTGCCTTCAGTACGTTCATGCTGCTGCTACACGCGCCCCTCCACCTCCCCATCGCAGATACATTCTCCTCATCAGCCAACCAGTCTCAGCAGAATCATCAACCACCGCAGACGGGCTGCGGTTACAAATCTCCCTGAGGAGTCTGAGGGCCAAACGAGTCTCTGTCGAGACTTTATCATCACACATCATCTGTTTACAACAAACAATTATCTTTTCTTCGTTCGCTTGTCTCTCCTGATTGAAATGTCAGTCACAGCCGATCAGTTGGGGCAAAATAACCCCGCCACACAAACAGGATATGAAAAGGCCATTCAATCTGATAATCAGACCCTGATTTAGTCTCAATGCTCAACAATACAAGATAACAAACTCTCTTTCTACATCTATGTGCTTGTTGTTTTGAAATCTAGAGTTGTATGCTTAAATTACTGCCATGAAAGCACCATAATACACATGATAATTCGTTTTTGCATGATGTTACATGTCTTCTGGATGCATTATACGTTGACTTCTCATTCTGCGCCACTTTCCTCTCTTAGCATGTATCCTCGTTATCCAGTGACAGTTGTCCTCCTTGGTCCGGCCATTAGAAAGACAGATCAAGGCTGGCGTGCCGTGAGTGGATCTGAATGCTAAATACATAGCTTATGAGGCACCCGAGTCCAATTAATTACAAAAGCCTGTTTTGCGCGGCACTGCTCGTTATCTGTCTCATATCTGTCTTAGTGACGAATGTTCCCCCTCCAAAACCCAAAGTAACAACACCGAGCTCACTGACTGCCACAGGCCAGTGTTTACCAACGAGTACGGAACGGAGCACAGGCACGCATCTCCACTCTGCCGCTAATTAGCGAGCACGTACGGGCCAAAACTACTTCTTCTGCATGGAACGTGCACGGAGCAACATCTGCTGTCGGTTACTTTCAAGAGCCAATTGGATTGCTTCAATCACCATCCCTTCTGTCTTTGATTCAGCGCCAGTTTTCATCTACTCTTGTTGTTTGTTGTTGTCGTCGCCCGTTGTTGTGTGAGTGGAAGTGGAACACCTTGATATCAAAATGTTCTGTCTGTTCAAAGAACGCTAATGCTCGTACATCCTGCTACGCGTTCTGCAGATGAGGTGTAAATATGATGATGCTTTGTTGCATCCTGACAGCGTATTGTGTAAAGTTCTTGTATCGTCTCATAAGAACGTGAAAACACTAATCTTTGTGAATCGCACACCCACAGACGCACACGCACACACGCACACACACACACACACACACACACACACTCTCATACATTAAATGGCCGAGAGAAAAATGAGCCTGGAGCTCATTTTGAGGTTAGCGACGCATTCCTTTCCCATCAGGTGAGGTAATCACAAATATAAAGGGAAGCAAGCTCATCTCGGTTGACTTCTTTCACTCTCCCCTCTTCCTGAGAGCAAATGATGAGTCAGCAGTGAGAGGCGGGTGCCACACAGTAGGGCATTGGTGAGAAATGAAAGATGCCAGAATAGCGGGGAATCAATGGAGATGAGGGGAAAATAATATTAAACGAAATGAAGGTGAAGTCAGGGTGAAGGAGAAGAAAAAAAAAAAGCAGCAGGATGAGGTGGGTGAAAAAAAAGAAGAGTGACAGTCAGAGGTGGGAGGGCAGTAATGTGAACTAACAGACAGTCAGCGGCAGCGTTTAAACGGAGAAGATAGGAAACAAAAAGTGCAGAGGCCCAGAAGGAAAGATTAAGGGGAGAGGGAGAGGAGGGGACATTTTGGTGGGGTTGATCATTGAGCGTGTCGGGGGAAGAGGAGGAGCCTTGTTGGAGTGACAGGTCTGCTGAGCCAACCCCCCCTCCCCCATCAGGCTTTGCCATCCTGCCACGCAGATGTCAAAGCAGCTCCGGAAAGGTTGAAGTGAGACGCGCGGCGAATGTTAAACGCTCACGGCTGTCTTTGAAATGGCCAATGTATAACTGCACGTTCAACTTCCCCCTCCCGAGTTAATATCTATGATAATCACAGTGTGATCTCACAGTCCCATCTCTCTGCAGGCTCTATTGTAACCATACCGAGTATTACCTGTGTAAGCACATTCAAATAGCCTTTCTGCTGCTGCCCTTGCAGCTTGATCCTGGTAGCAAACTCCCCTAGTATATGAAAGGTTTATCACTGTATAAAAGGTATTTCATATATAGTAGTGCATATGATATGTTTCCAGAATTGCCATACCCCCGGCTCAGCATAAAAGCTTTTCTTGATAGACTGAGAAGCCATTGTTTGCTGACGGAGTCACGCCTGTGGCTCCGCTTCAATGCATAATCCTGTAACGTTATCAAATCATGTCAGCTGGCCGAACGTTAACGTCTGATCTTTTACTGTTCCTGCTTGACCCTTCGACAGATAAACAGGTCGTTGTGTGCGAGACCAAAGAGTGGCTCACATCACAGACATTCAATCAGGCGAGTCGCTGCACAAACATGTTAGGGCCCGGACACACTTGACTATCGGTCCGCATTGGTCTGCCGTTGAGCATCGTTGTCGCGGCGGACCATCAGCCCTACTCTGTGTCAGGAAACCTTATCGGTGTCTGTTCAGCAGAAAGAGTGCTGTCTGTTTAATCAACGGTGCAGGCAGTCGGCTGTTCAGGCTTCAAGGAGCACAACACTGATTTAGCATCACACAAAAAACTAAACTGGATGAAACTGGATGCAGCAGAGGCAGATGTAAGCTTATTTTTAATTCCACACATTCTTCTTCCTTGTCAAACCTGGCACCTACATTACCTACAATGCAACTCGTTTGCTAGTGGCGGCTAATAGTAGCAGTGAGCCTCAATTAGACATGAGGAGCAGGCTGGGGAGGTCCAGATTGTTTCTCTCGGCATTGCGTCTCGGCATTAAGTTCTTTGGATAACAAAAATAGACAACAGAGCAATATCTTCTTTTCTCCTGTACTGTTGGCTCATGGTAAATGGCTGCGGTTTCTGTGTGTGTGCTCAAGGGCAACTTGACAACGCAAAGCAGTGGTTCTTTCAGGCCCGGAGTGTGAGTGTGATTCCTCTAACCAGTTTCGAGTAGAAGGCAAGCTTCGGCACCCTACAAAATGGATTTGTTGGGCTTTCACAGCGTATGAATGTCATAAAAGCCTTTTATGCCGCCTGGAAGAGAAGACAGGATATAGATGAATGCTATTACAGTCATGGAGTGTGGGGACACTGTCAAACCATCTGTTTGGACTGGAAAGCAAGTCCTCAAAGTCACTGAAAATGAGAAAAACTCACATTCATTCAACGTATGAATGGGTGCTATGTAAAGTGTTACACTAAAATGGTAGTGGCTGATATCTCCAAGTCCAGTCACACTATGTACCTCGAGCACTTCAAAGCTCCTAGCTGAGGAAATGTGTCTCAGAACATTTTTGATACGAGAGTAACTCTAACTTATGACTATAAATATAGAAATTGAATCTCTGCTTGTCTTTACCCTTTTGAAGCTGGGAAGAGAGAGACTGCGAGGTGGGGAATGTCAAGTCTTTGTAAGTGGCTCCATTGACATTCTCTGGAGACAAATTGGAGGATTTTAGACTTCAAAACTGCTCGTCCTGCTCCATTTAATGCCAAAGGAGATCTCTGCAGCACTCACTCAGATGGTGGGAGTGGTGCAGACCAGTAGGGGGCACACTTACTTTGTTGCAGCCCACGTATCAGCGCGTGCAGAGCAATTGTGAATCATTAATGTTGTGTGTGTGTGTGTGTGTGTGAGCGAAGGAGAGTGTCAAAAAGACGACAGAGAGAGACAGCAGGAGAAACAGACAATGTCAGTGGGGAGAGTGTTCTCCTTGAGGGTGGAGGATGAACCGTGGTAATCAAGCTCACACTTACAGTAATCTGTGGGGGGGAAGGTCATCAAAGGGTTTCCGATGGACGGGGGCGTAGAGCTGAAGGGCAACCTGGTTGAGCTGGCGACCACAGGTGGAAACTCACCGTTGGCTGAAAAAGAAACATAATTCAATTAGTGAAAAAGGGCAGTGCTATATCGCCTTCATGTGCAGCAATGGAATCCTGTTGCTGTTAACGTTGACCAACTGAACGCGCACAGCGGCTGCAGACCCCCTCACTGGCACAGACAATGTGGAACCACCAGCAGGGGTCATTCTTTTTTTCATTTGAGTGGAATGCATAAAATGCTCCTCCATGTCTCTATCCGTTCATACAGTAGATGAACGATGGGTAAGCACATTCAGTCGGGGTGTTATCAAGCCTACAGCCTCACCGCATTTCCCAGGACCGAGATCATAAGCTCCCTAGTACTTTGATCTCCCCCCCCTCAACCTCAAATTCTCTCCCAGAATGAAGTCTTCCAGGCAAACGGCTGGCTGATTGGATATAGAGACTTTTTTTCTCTAAAGATGTTAAAGTAGGAGATATAAAGGTTGGATGTTGACGTCACGGCGGAGAAACAGGAGTTCCCATGGATGCTTGGGTATATCACTGCACGGATGAACGTTTTTCTTTGAGTAGGCCCATGCACAGCGACCAGTGGTCTAAGAGATTGGCCCGGACGGTGTTAAAAAAATCTGCTGCCGCATCTGATCAAGGACTGCACAGGCTGCAGGACAATCAATGCAACCCCGTCAGCTGAACAGAACAAGATTGTTCTCCAGAACAGGAAATGCTGAAATGACAAAAAACCAATGTCCAACAACAGCATTGCAAACACCTGACAGGACAAAATACTAAACCCCTAAAACAAAATAGCTATTTTCTTTATTGCTACACAGAAGTCACGGTTCGGTTATATTCTGATTTCGGAGTCATGGTTCGGTGTGAGTTTGGTACAAAAAACAACAAAAATAAATGCATGATGAGATGTTTCTTCTAAATGAAACTGAGGAGCATTTCAAACACATCTGTATCAAGCCTAGGTTATACGTCCAAGTACATGGAAAGCTTCGGACATCACAGATGCATAGCTCTGTTTATACTTCCTGGACTCTGCGTGTCTGCCGTGTGGACTCGTCGGTAAGCAGACATTCAGACAGAGATTGCTACACCCTCTGGTGACGAAAATGTACCTCACCTAGACCCTAGTATACTCGTCCATGTGGCTAGTACCTCACCTAGACCCTAGTATACTCATCCATGTGGGTAGTACCTCACCTAGACCCTAGTATACTCGTCCATGTGGGTAGTACCTCACCTAGACCCTAGTATACTCGTCCATGTGGGTAGTATTATTTCATCTTTACGATGTACAAAAAATGAACACTTTCCCAAAAGACAAAAGGTCAAAAAAGTGTGAAAATAAAACTTCATTTGGTTCTGCATTATGTGCATCAAAACTTTTTCATTCCCACTTGACAAACTCTCTTACTTTGAGAACCCAGATGTGTTCAGCCGAGCTGCTATGAATGTGTCTGTGACTCTGAATTTGTTTCCAAAGAAAGGCCACGTTTTGTTGAGGTCTGTCCGGCGTCTCATTTCTTCGATGTTATGTTCTGTAGAAGAAGCCCCTCTGTGGCTCTGTTGCTCGATGACCCTTGTTGAGCCAAGCAGAAGATGTGAGATTATTTCAGAGGAGTCAGATAAGGTTCACGGTGCTGATAGAGCAGCCAGCGTTCAATGCTATGACACTAAACAAGGGCATTGGCTCAGATCTTGACCATGCTGTTATTCTGCTAGTTCCGTCTCTGATTTATAAATTTTTTTTTTTAAATCAAAGCTGGATAAGTCTCCCAAAGAGGCTACACAGCCTAGTCGACCTTAGAACGATAAGAATCATGCTGTTTCCGCCATGCTGCCTCAGTGCTTCAGTCTATCAACACAAATGGGGGCCATCCATCCTTATAGCCTTTCCATTGAACACTCTCAATGTGCATAGTGTAGATACTTGAGGCATGCAAACAAAGCATTGTAAACGACACTCTATGTGCGTATGATCCGCATATAGAGCTCCATTTGTGTTCTGCATATGGAACTGACTTTTGAGAGGAAGATTACATGCTTTCAGGGGCTATTTGCATTTGATATGGCAAGTGGAGAAAAAAAAAGGTATCTAGTTGAGCTCTCGCCTGTCTTATAGAGCATAGAGTTTGTTTGCTCTGTAGCTCACTGATATTCTCTACCATGGATGGTAAACAGGCAGCAAAGGATGATTTAAAGGTTCCATGAGAGTGCTTTCTTTTACTTGCTTTGCTCTTGTAAACCACAACTACTCCTGGACAACCCACTGTGGTGTTTGCAAGCCTCGGAACGGAGTGACATGAGGGGAATATCGAAGCAGAAATCCGACAACAGGTACAAGTTTTCCTAATTGCGACGAGCCGACGAGTTGCCCACATAGTGTCATTTGCTTCCTTGGTGAGAACAAATCATGCCCCGCCTTCCCCGCCATCATCTGGCGGTGTCAGGGGACAGAAGCAGGACCTTTCATCTTTATCTCTGTAATCATTTTACTGCAAAAACACTCCCTCATGTCTGTCCCGGTTCCCCTGTCACCTCAGGCTGAAGGCTCACCGTTTATGGCAATATGGCAGGGGGCTCCCTCAACAGCTGAAAGGTTTGGAAAGCAACTGTCTGGCGCCGTATCATTCAGTCCGAGAAAAGCTGCTTTAAGTCGGAGCAAACAGCTTGACATCAATGTTATTTGTGCACGAGTTGAAACTGCGCCTGCGGTCCTCTGGGTGATGAATATCATTAAAGTGCTGTCTCTACTGGAACAATATTTTATAACTTTGTACTCAAAGCTTGAAAAAAGAAAAAAAAAAAACTCAGCATTGCTTACCTAAAATCTGCCACCTATAGAAATCAATAGTTCATTCCCTGTAATCCTCAAATAAATATCACCGCCTAAGTCACCACCGCTCGGGAGTTTTGAAACAGATAGAGTTAATGTGCTGATTTGATGGATCAAATACCACACACGAGTGACTGCAGTGTGTTTGATTGCTTTCTGCACAACACTGCCCCTCTGTTTGTAAGGCCCTTAGATGTGTTGTGTGTACGCAGCAAGTTCAGCAACTTTTTACATCTTCAACAAAGTCGCTAATAAGGCTCACCGCATTGTTATTCTGAGCGGGGGGGGGGGGGGCTATGGAGGAGACAGAGCTGGAGCATGCAGCATTGGTATGCTGCTGCAGCAGGAGAAGGGCTCAGCAGGTCCACCACAGAGCAGCGTGAACCAGAGAGCAGGGCAACAGGCGGTGTGGCTGTCACTGGTCATTAACAGGCCGCCGTAAGCTGCCCGAAGCCCACCAGAGGCAAGCCATGGAGCTAATTGCAGTAGCTCTGAGGAAAATCCACACAACAATCTGAATTATTCTACTACATGGCCTTTTTCTCAAATGCAAGAATACTGTACTTTAGGATTCCTAACCTTGCATGCACTGCTTCTATGCACAGTCTAAAGGCGGCTGGTAGACCTGGGAGAGACCACCATTTTAATAAGGTGCTTTTAATTAGCGCTAATGTAATGTCATCGTGGTGAACCCACTGAGGAATGTTGAGCATCTGTACTTACTGGTCCATGGTGTGTCTCCGCATTTCTCATAACCCACAGGTGCAGCTGCATAATTACCGAAATGAGTACATTTCAGTACTCCGTACTTGTACTACACTAGTTACCACGACAGATAACAGCGATGCAACAGCCAACTAACAGCACATAACTGGAGTGGGGAAGCTAACTGGACCCTCGTTGAACATGGATACAGCTCTTTGTGTGTGGCTGTGTGTATGGCTAAAACACAGTGTGAGAAAATACAATTATTTCCACCCCAATCTTCGAAAGGAGTGTTGCATTGACAATCCAGTGACGTCAGGGCCCAGCTACTGAGGGGGCACAGTGTGATGGTGGGGGGAGGCACAGGGCAGAGACCAAAAGATGAACTTCCTGTGCTGTCGAACACAATAAACTAATTTATTGATGCTACTGAAGATGAAATGATAAAACCGACAACCAGGTCCAACACCTGAAGGGCAACGGACGCATCATCAAACACACGCGCTTGCCAAACTATAAATCCCACTAAAGCCAAGAGAAGGCCACGGATGGCTGGTCCTCTGCATGATGTGTTCACAGTATGTTTTCCCACCGAAACACATTACTGGGGTTGTGTCATGACGCTCCGGGATCTATCCTGCTCATCACTCACAGTGATCACTCTTGGAAGCGACACCTTTTTGCTGAGCTTCGGCATCTCCCATCAGCTGGTCTGACTGATGGGCGATAAAGAGTGGCTGCGTCAAGTGTGGCTGAAGGTAATGGAAGTGAGCAAAGCGTGGATAGAGGATCACATAAAACACAAATTGGTGCGCAAATATCTCCTGGAAAATGTCATCTCTTTCAATCAAGAGTCATCAACCCAATAAGCCAATGCTGATAGAGGACGATCTGCTCCAGCCCGGACCAATCAGCAATTTCTCACATCATATTCATCAGATGACCTCATGTCATCTGATTGCATTTTACAGTTATGGTGATAGTGTTGATATTATATCTGTGATCAATGATTAAATTCAACAAAAACATCATCCATTATTGTAGATTTGAATGAAAACTGTCATCTAAATAGCTTTAATTAATCACAACTGAACAGCTTTTAACATTGTAGTGACATTAGAGTGACAGTGGATATGTCTTTAGCTTTTACCATTGTGACGTGAAATGTTGATTGCGCAATGTGGTGGCTATAAAATATGCGTTTAGATTGGTTCCTTGTAAGCCTCGCTTTCATTATGTAATTCTGTCCGCCTAAGGGACGATCTCTCTGATAAATAAATATATTTATTTTGTTTTTTCACCTTTGAATGTGTTATAACTCTGTTATGTTGTTCATTCTGTACACATGACATCTATTGCACTTCTGTCCATCCTGATAGAGGGATCCCTCCTCTGTTGCTCTCCATAAGGTCTCTTCCTCTTTTCTCCCCGTTAAAGGGTTTTTGGGGGAGTTCTTCCTGTTCTGAAGTGAGGGTCCTGGGACAGAGGATGTCGTATGTGTACAGATTGTAAAGCCCTCTGAGGCAAATTTGTGATTTTGGGCTATACAAAATGAATTGAATTGAATTGAACCTCTCTTTGTCATAGAACTAAGATCTATGTTTTGAGTTTAAATTGGGATTCTTACGGTACTTTATTTCTTTGTACAGTAGCCAGGCAGCTAGCAGTAGCAGTGATGCTAATGCTACCGCTACGTATTGCTTGCAGCCTGAAAACGAACCAGCGGCTACAAAGAAGCCAGGCTGCTCGAAAATATGAATTGTCCGTTTAATAATCTTAACAATGCTAGCTAATGCTAACACTATCAGCTTGATGCAGACATCTATGATTCCATGTCCATTTCATAATCTAAACAAAGAACAGCTTTTCTTGTGGTGGCCATTCTAAAATGAATGTCACGCTTACTACTATTATATCAGATCAACACTGGTTGTCTTTACAACAGTGGTGGGCCGTCAGGGCCTGCAAGACCTTCTCTGCTGGCCAAAACAGAATCACAGTTATATCTATTTTATAATTTAATAATTTTTCTTAAATACACTACATGTATTATAATTTATAAAAATATTTTTCCCATTATCTTATTTTCTCATTGCACAGCTACTGTCTTCCTCAGTTGCTCTGCTTCCAGTGCAGCTTGTTTTAAGTAGAGCTTTTATCCAATCAGATTTCACCTCTGTGTCTCTAGGTAAGAAGAGAGGCCTGAGGCCTGCAGACTCACAAGTGCATCCCTTTGCAGTTTAAGTGAATGGGGACGATATTGTTGATTGTCATAGTGTTCAACCAATCAGATCTTTAGTTTGACATGTTGGGCGTATTCTTTGACGTGCCAGAGCCTGCTAGCTGGCTTAGCCATACGTGATTGGTCAGTGGGCTAGTGTGACATGTTGGGCGGTGACAATCCCAATATCTGCTGCCTCTGCCGAGCGGACATTTTCAGCCTCAAACGCATTTAAACCTATTCAAGAAATACAACTGGGGAGACTCGACTGTCTTCACTGGCGTTCATGAATCGAGAAGGACTTCTGACTGGAACTAAAAACGCACGGATGTACTGAACAACCGTGAGATTAAACTCTTTGTTAACAAAGAAAGGAGGAAGAACAGCTAAATAGTGAACAGCAGCTCTGGTAAGTTAACTGCAGTAGCTTTAACTGCCATAAATATGATCTATGTCATCATTTAATGCTTGCTTATATTATATATTATTATTTATACAACTTATATGGATTTTCGTTTGGTTTTATATGTGATAGGAACTATTGTTACGTCCTATGTTGCGCGGGGGACACATTTAGCCGGTGCACAGCAACAAGACGACGCGCGAAGCGGCAGCGGTCTATATACTCCGTGCAAAGTGTTAAAGTTAAGTTTAAGTTTTTAAGTGATCTACTTTGAAGATTCATATGTTTTCCAGTGGACTCGTTTTCCCTCTCGGTGTTGACAGACAAATAAATCCGTCAGTAACAAGAACTATGGAGTCGTGTATTTCCTGGAGGGAGTGATAGGAGAGTTACTACTCTGTTAATTTGTCTATCGTGTCGTTTTCATGATATGGGTAATATTGTTCCCTCTGATATGAATAATATTTGAATGGCCCGTGCTCTTGAGTGTGTGGCGGAATGCATGTTTTAGCTGAATTGATTTTGACTCATTGTTCGTTAATGCCGCCGCATCCCGTCATGCCGGTATTCATGTATCTGCACTCATAGTGTATTTGTAGGTGTTGAGCTTCATTTACGAGTGCAGGCCCAGGTATAAAATGCACGGCCCGCCACTGCTTTACAACAATAATAGCACTTAGAAATTCTACATTAGAGAAGTTGAAAAGTTTTTCAGTTGCCACTTTAATGGTTCCAGTATTGCCACCATACCAAGACCTTCTCACCTTGGACGAAAAAACAATCTCCCTGGCCAGCATCACACAATGCGTCAAATGCCCTTTCCTCTTGAATGTAATTCTTGGCCAGGATGTAGTCACTTTAACACTGTTTCAGCTTAACAACGTTTCCATTACTATTCCTGTCACTGCTCTCAAACTGTTTCTCTGAGATGGAGGGAGGCACTGAACTCCCAACCTTTCATACTCCAGACGCCAGACTTGGTTGTCATCACACTCTTGTTTTTTTACACTGATGCACCATCTCAATTATAACACAAAAGTATCCGGAAAGGTGACGTGAGGCTTGACCTTTATAAGTCTGCAGTATGTTAGCCCTTATCAGTCAGAAAGCTATACTGTGGCGGATTTGAACTGTTCTGACATTTCAGGACACGTGAAAAGTTCTCAAAGAGAGTGTGCTAAAAGAACATCATAATATATATTAATTCCAAAAAGTTTTGCCGATGAATGTCTTAGCAAAACTGCAGTTAATTTAATAAAGATATCATACCTAAGGGAGTAGTAGACTTGCTAGGATTTTCAGATAATATTTGAAGCGTTTTTAGTGAGGATTGAGCACTATGTTATGGCTATGTCAAGGGAATTTCAATGTTAAGTGCGTCCTTGAGGAATGCTTCAGAGAGTACAAAACTGCCGCTCAGTCAAATCTTATCTCTGTACAACATGAACATAGGGCATACCTGTTTTGACTACTAATCAACTTGCTTAGGTCACTAAATGTTTACTTAAGTTTGTCTGAAGTTAACACTTTTCAGAGCAATCCAGTTGTTTCCCCCCCATTGTGCTTGTCATGGTCAATCAATCAGGCTATCAGTCAAAGAAGTCCATTAACTCAACCAAGGTCTGATGAAGTTAGAGTGGAAAACTCTTTTTAATAGTACTCACATGCCAGGAAGCAGTCCATACTGAAAGAGATGTTGTCTATAGAGATGGCTGAACCGGGTCCAGGTCCATCTTCCGCGCTGAACTGCAGCCAAAACCTACGGAGGGACAGAGCTGTTTTAACAACCGTGCAAGCTGTGGATGGTTGGATAGCTTCTGACTGAAAGGACATGAAGAAGAATTTATAGCACTTTAAGAGAAATGTCATTGAGCTTTGGGTGTGCATTGTAGGCCTTGTGACGGCTCAGTCTATATTGTTAAGAACTGTCAGCTCTTTGAGCAGATACAGGAAAGACTTCTTTAGGGATATGTTCTTGTTCTAAATTAAATATATTTCTGCACAAAATAATGTCGGCATGCACTGCATGACCTATACGTCCAAAACCTTTGAAGGAATAGTTTGACATTTTGTGAAATATACTTTCTTTGATGAGAGGATTGATAGCACTCTCAGTCCTGTATGGTAAATAATAGCTGTAGCCAGTGGGATGTTAGCTTAGCTTGACAAAAACACTAACAACCGGGGGAACTAGCCTGGCTCTTTTCAAAGACAACAAAATCTACCTACCAGCCCCTCTAAAGCTCCCTAATAAACATGCTGTATTTTTTATGATTAGCTGTGCAAACATCAAAGGATAAAAGTGTAAATTCGCCATTTTGCGCCCTTTCTCCTGTCCTTATGCTAAGCTAACTGGCTGCTCACTCCAGCTTCATATTTAGCCTATGAAATTGGTGTCGATCTTCTCATCTACATGTAACTTTCAGGCAAAAAACAACAACAAGTCAGCGTATTTCCCAAAATGTTATTTTGTTATACTGTATATATGAGTTCTAAATCCAAAGTCCTTCCTCTTCAACACTATCGGTCATACTGATAAGAGGTTCGTATCTGTGAAGTCAAACCTGATGGCATACCCATAAAAACACTCGCATGCAGAGTCTATAGTACACCGTCTGTAATGTCCGGACCTTTGTCTGCACTTCAGGCTGCATTTCTGATTATATTTAAGCTCTAAAAATGTCAGCGTGCAAAGACTGGCAAGTTCACCCAATGGTTGAGGACATGACATTCTAATTAACAGCACAAGCACAGCTGACTACATAACCCAGGAATCAAAAATTAATCACTCTCAGGGGAGCAGGATTATCTGAGATCGAATGGCCAAGAAGCCCCCAGTCAGGCAAACAGAGATGAAATCATCTTTCTCTTTTTTTAATCTTGCTTTACTCTATTTTATTTTAATTTCTCTCTCGTTTGAGGGGAAATCGGGGCCATAGCTAATTGGGAGGCAAGTAGGGTGGTTAGAGCCTTGTGTATTGATTTCTCCTCTCTTTATCACAGTCAAGTGGAGCAAACGGAGAGGGGTCTATTTGGTACAACTGTTCACATGGCAGGTCCACGGTATAAGACTAGAGTCCCTATGGGATTCATTAATTCTGCAGAGTTGAGAGAAAATGTAAATCTGCGTCGAGATAGATAGAAATAAGAAGAGCTTCTTGCTTCTGAAGACTTCCTTTCCGAGCTCTTAATTAAGTATTTGTTTGAGTGTGTCGGAGTGTTGGGGACTAAAGTTAGACCCCTTGCTCTTAAGTGCCAGTTTGATGCCTTCATACATGCAGCTTGATACAATCTGTTTACATGCCGAAACAGCCAAGTGTGTTCCTTACCAGTCTGCCAGCCCGTAAAGGGGAACTATGACGAGCTTCCAGCCCCTTTCAGATTTGGGTTTGCTGGCTGAATGCCACAGTCTGCGCTGCTCCTCGGGGCCTGTGCTGTTCTCAGCAATCCACAGAGACAACGACCCCCTCTGCAAGCCTCCAGAGCACAGCCACAACCGCACCTGTTGGGATCAGGTGGAAGTTGAAATGAGCGATACAGTAAAGGTGACCAGGAGAATGTGGATTTTTGAGGTACATGCTGAGAAATAAAGAGAACGAATTACAGAGCAACAATAGAAACATTGTTTTGACATGAAGAAAACCAGCCGAGTTACTGTGTTACCACTCGAGGAAGGGATGTACTTGAAACTGCATTGAGTTCAATCAGTCACAGCCATCTGCTCAGTTGTAATTATTCTAAGATTAATACAATTCATTCAGGATCATGATTCGGGCTATTTTGCTACACACGCTTCTCCTGCATGCTTCGGCACAAATCAATCTCAATTTGCTGTTTCCAGGAGGGATATGGTCGCTGTAAACCTGCTTTGAATTACACAACAACCAGGCCATGTCAGGAATTAAACAGTAAAAGGAAGTCTGAAATCTAAAGCTTGCTAACAAGCAATGGGATGTGACATGTCCCTCTACAGCATTTCGGTGGCACCAAGAACATAATTCTTGCTTTCACCATTTAAGTGGAACAGATGCTGGCTTAAGCCTGATGAAAAGCACACATAGAAACGACACTACTCCCAGACAACTGAATTCGGTGCCTTCATGGTGAACGCTTGCATTGTGCTTGTTAGACAGCAGGTTGTCGTCCTTATCGTCCACCGGCGGACCACACGGTGGCCGTTTAAACATCAAGATTACAGGCGCTGCACAGAGCACACCGGGCATGACATGAAAGTGGTCTGTAGCTAATACCCAAAACTAATATCCTCAGCATAGTTGTCCAAGAGCGGACAGGCTAGATTGAACGGCACCGGTCCAGCGTAGAAAGAAGGATTTAGAGTGTTAATCTGGAATCATGGCTAATCTGTGGGCTGTGTGCCCGAGAAGCTGGGAGGCAAGGTTTCTTCCTTGCGGCCAGTTCCTTTGCTTGTTTCTCACGTGCAGACTAAATTTATTCCCTCTCAGTCTCTCCTATTATCTGGTTTTCTGACCTCTTGAGCTTTTCCATCTCCTTCCCACCTCCATCCCTGAATTGTGTGTCGGCTTGTCTCATCCCCAAGCACCCCCGCCACAACTCTAAATATGCAAAGTACACATGCAGAGGGCCAAAGGTCTCTGAGCTGAGCGATATCAAAATAACATAACTAAATTCTAGATGCAACAGCATCAATCAAGGGTTCAAGTGCACAAGCAATCACCCCTGGAGACGTGCACTGTGAGCATCATGATCTAAATAATGCATGGCTTCTCATTATTTTCACAACTAGGTCAGCAGATTCACTCTGTGATTGATGAGGTCGACCTCTCTGCCTGTTAGGATCTGTTTACCTGCTGTCTCGGCACGTTGACATTTGATTTGTGAGCTGAGAGCATATCAAAATATTAAGCAAGCAATTCATTAACTGTTGAAAACAAACCGGTTACCGATTAAAAAAAAAATGCAACTTTGCAAATAATTTACACTTGTTATCTTATTATGACATAACCCTGAATGTAAACACATAGCCCACGGAGCATTTTAAATGTATTAATGATCTTTTTGTTTTTACTATTGTTGTATGGTAAAGTGAAGAAGAAGAAACTAAGTGCTCTGTGAACAAAGAAGTTTATTTTGAAAAGACTCTTTGCATGTATCGGGCGAACAATGACACTATAGGGGTAGCTAGAGTGTCATAGTTTGAAGCTGTCCGCTACTATTGTCATTATTATTAAAAAGGTAATAATAACAATAAACTTTGACCCGTTACAATGCAGTTCACATACGTGTATGTCCAAAATGTAATCACCTATTTGACATTTATCTGAAATTGTCATAATTAACATACTTAGTCATACTCTTGAGTCATGGCCATAAATGTGTTTTGTGAAGTCACAGTGAACTCGGCCTTTGACAACTCTACTCATTTCATTCTTGAGTCGAGGTGGATGTTTATTTCCAAATTGAAGAAATTCCCTGCAGGCGTTCCAGAGATATTGAGTTCACGAGAATGGACAACCCGAAAACACATCGCCTCTGGCCGTGGCTATCTCCAGCACAGAGGCGTAAAAAGATGACAGGACTGCAACCTTCACTGTGGGGAGGCCAAGGTGCTAATAATCATTGTGGCAAATCTGGCACGTTATCATTTAAAGCAGCATATGTGCCGCGCGAGAAGAGAGAGCTCCACACACGCAGCAGCAGTAACGGAGGGGGGTGGGGCTGATACATCTGATCTCGGGTTTATGCGCATCTCAGAGAACGAAGATTATATTTTCTCTGGAGAAAAGACCGACTGTACTTTGCTCACCGTGCACGGGGAGTTTCTGAGGGGAGGGGGGAAGAGAGGGCTCCTCAGTATCGCTGAGCTCCGCTGGCCTTTGGACTGGCCTCCTTCCACGCTGAATGTAGCACCTTAAAACACAAACAGTCATTACACTCGCAGAAGAAGAAAAAGATTTGAAATGGAATACACGGTTATTATTTCTCCCATTTCTCCACTTTGATGCATAGCTTAACTGATATAGCTAAAGGGTTGTCATGAGGTTAATTGAAAAGTAATGTGCAAGAAAATGAATCTAAAATCACCAAACATGGTATAAAATGATCCACACTACCCCTGAGACTTATGTAAATAAGTTGAGAACAAAAACAAGCCTCAGCAAAGCGAGACTTTAGATTCTCATCCAGAGACACATCGCCTCACGGCACAGACGATGAAGCGCAGATGGAGGACTCAAGGGTCTGCATGCCGGAGCTTTTACACCCGAGTAGGATTCTGTTTGCAGCGAAACGCACTGTGCTCTGATTGAGATAACACGGGACACATCAGAGGTTCTGCTGATCTTTCTGCATTTGCTAACTGTTAAGACTGAAATATTCAATATCACGCTTTTTTTTTTAATTTGCCCCTTTAAAGAAATCCATATTAATGAGGCATCAACACCACTGTAAAGACGTTTGAGAGAACATGCACGTGTCATCATTTGATCAGAGCAATAGAAGCTGTGTGTGAGCAACCTGATGACGGGCAGCTCTGTTTGGTGGCCTTGGCCGGCGACTGGAGTCTTCTCCAGGAGAGACCGCGGCCCGGTACCGACTGCCAGCCGCACTCGCCCTCTTCAAAAGTGCAGTAGCTGCCGTTGAGAAAGTGGCCTGGAGAGAAACGGGAGAGAGAATACATCAGGGGAGGAGAGGAGAAGATGATAAGGAGGGGGGGCAAGTAATGAGTGGACAGGCCCGGCAGGTGGTCGAAAGAAGAGGAATGGAGTGAACACTGACTGCCAAACTGCCAAGGAGAAAGAGGACAGGGGTGTGTGTGGCGGGAATCAAGGAGATGAGAGACAGTGAGGGTGACGAGGTTGTGAGGAGAGAGCCGTGCGGGGGGGGAAATGGCTCACGGGACTCAATGTGTTGGTGAAAATTAGGGTTGAGGTGCGGTGGAGGTTACTCTTGAAACAGAAGCAGAAAAGGAAGAAGGAAAGAGGGTCTGAGGGGAAAATGAGAAAGCTGGGGAGCTTCACAGAACGCCACGAGCCTCGGAAGCAATTTGATACGAGCGGCCGCAGTGCAGTGAAAACGCGTAGTTGGAATGTAAAGTGCATTTCCACAACGTGTCTTAGTGAAAAAGTGAACACTCCTCCATTTGCAAACTAGGCCTCACCTTTTATGTTTTAAGAAAAATCACCTACAGGTTAGGTAGGGCCATCCTATCAATTTCAGCAAACATCCCAGTATGATTTAATGCAAAAAAAATTTAAGTATCAAACACGCATTACTACTTTGCAGTTAAATATTTAACATTTATTCCAACACAAAAAAAGCAGTAAATAACACTTATATAATATAATATAATATAATAGAACATGTTTATTTATTGAGATGCCCCTATGGACCTTGTTATAGGAGGTAAAGATCAGGAGAAGTAAACATGAATAATTATGTAATTATGAATACTGATGTTAAATTAAGCTATGATGAGTTTTCACTGTTAATTTACCATCTCAATTACATGTTGATGCCTCCATGACCAAGTTAAGCAGATGAGACTGAGGACAACTATGTAGAAGAAAAGATGCCTAATATGTAGCTTGACAGAGTTCTCCATGTGTGTCCTGGTGTTCTCATGTTTCCTTACCTCCTCATCCCTCACTC